TTGAAGGGGTAAAAGTCTATCCCAGAGAAACAGGATGGATTTTACCCTAATTTATGTTAACAGCAAGCAAACAAAAAACCCCACTTGGACTTTCAGACAACTATAGAACTCAATATGCCAATAGTTTGAAGAGATTGGATCAGTCAGTTAAGTGAATACATTTTTTAAAATTTATCTTTGTTGTTGAAAGAAGTGAATACATTTTTAACGAGTGTCTACAAATGTACCAGCCATAGTGTCTAAGTATGATTTGAATGAAAGTAAGTAGACAATAAACTCAGAGATAAAAGCATTTCAGGTTTTGATAAATGCTATGAAGATAACAGAGAAATATGGTAAAGAAGACCAGGGGAGGAGGGAGGCACGCCTGTTTTAGCTACAGTGACCAGCAAAGGCCTCTAGGTGAAGAGACATTTGAGTGTGATCTAAGTGATAATTAATCAGCCATGCCAAGTTTCAGAAGAAAAATATATTAGCCAGAAGGCAGAGCAAATGCAACAATCCTGGGGCTGGAATAAATTTCGTGTTCAAGGAAAAGAAAGGCAGTGTGGCTTGAGTATAGAAAAACAGGAGAATTGAAAAGATAACTTTAGAAAGGGTCAGGAGAGTTGAGGGTTTTACAAAGGAGTAGCTGGTGCTGGATTATAGAACATAAACTGGAAAACAAGATGAGAGACGTCAGAAAAGGTAAGGTGGAGGGCACTTACCGCCTCAGCAAGTCTTGAGCAGCGAGAAAAACAGCCTCTCCTTGAGAGGGTTACTGATTTCAGGGGCACGGGAAAGAGAATCCACCCGCAGCAGGACACCTGGACTTAACGCCTCGCTTTAGCCATTACTACCCACACCATCTTGACAAGTCACCTCATGGCTCTCAGCCTCAAGAACCTCAAGTGTGAAATAAAGACGCTTACTTTACCAGGCTATTCTGAGGGTTAAATGAAAAACGTTGGTGAAAGCGCCTGGCATACAGAAAGCTAGCTGAATAGGACCTAAATTTCTTGAGTGGATGCAAATAAAAGAGATACTAAAACCAGTTTTAAAAACACATGCACATCCATGTTGTTAATGTCGGTGAAAGCCTTTTACGGTAAATCTGTCCACAGAAAATAGATACGATACACAAAGTGGAGGCAAGTGAGGCGGAAATAGCGATCCAGGGAGATAATGACATTAAATGGTTCGTTCCGAGGACCTAGCGGATTGGCAGTTATTATCCCCTTCGCCAACTTCTGAGTTTAAAGAGCCAGCATCCAGCTTCGCTTTCATGTCAATGTCAATTAACGGCACAAAACCCTAGTTCAGCCCTGGCCGGTGCGGCTTCCCCCGGTGCACGGACGGTCACCCGTGGGACGGGAGCGGGTGGCGGGCTCCATCCCCGGTAGGGGGCGTGCAGGAGGCAGCCCACCCTGGTGTCTCTCTTTGATGGTTCTCTCCCTCCCTCCCCCTTCTTCTCTCTAAAAATCACTAGAAACCCGTTCAACCCGAGTTCTCTCTTGGAACACAAGACACGAACAAATTCTGCTTCCTTTGACAATGACTTAAGGAACTCATCCGCGGAGCAAGGCCTAGACTAGTAAAATGGCCAGCCCCCAACTCACACATACCCCCGTCTCCCCAGAGACCCAAGGAAAACAAACGGCAACTCACCTTCTTGATGGCGACGATTTGGTTGGTGTTCTTGTCTCTGGCCTTGTAAACCGTGGCAAACTAGACAGAAAAGCAAAAATAACCCAAGCGCGTGGGAAGATTGTTTGTTTGTGTCTGCCTTTTTACTTTAGGTTTTGGGAAGCCAAGAATCAAGGGTTCCAGGAGCGGACTCCGGGCGGCTGGAAGCGTGGGGGGCAGCCCACGCCGCTTCCTGTCTGTGGCCGAGAAGGGAGAGGGCCGCTCCGAGTGGACAGGGGGGCAGCGGCGGCCAGGCCAGCGGCCAGGCCAGCCTCGGAGGGCACGGGAACACCGGGGAAGACGTGGGGCGACCCGGCGCTCTGCCCCGAACCTCGAGAGCCTCACCTGTCCCTCCCCGAGGAAGTCCAGCTTCTCATAGCGCTTTGCTCGCGACTTCACGTCCACAGCCATCCGTCACGCGAAGCCCGGCGTCAGCCGTAAAGGGCGAGCTCCCGGGACAGAGGGAATTTAAAGCTACTTTAAAGCCTCCAACAGCCACTTCCGCTCACCAGGCTCCGACGCTTTGTTAGCCCCGCCCTCACTTCCGGGGTGGGCGTGGCCCTGCTAAGTAAGTTCGGCCCCAAGGAGGCTGCGCGAAGCTGGGCTCCTGGGCTGTTCTGCGCAGCTCCCCGCCCTCTCACGTGCTGGCCTGTTGGTGCCGGAAGCCGGGTGTTTTAGGGTGGTGCCCACGCGTGTCACCTTGTTACCGTTTTAACTTAGATTATTTTCTTAACTACCGCGGCGGGTCAGCGTTCTGCTACGGTTCTGAGTCCGGAATTTAATAGGTGTGTGTGCGTGTGGCAGGCTCGGCCTTCTCCCTCATCTCCCTTTCTGGTTCTAGGTTGTGGGTGTTCTGTCGCTATGGTTGCTATGGACGCCTGGCCCCGCAGGCTCAGGTTACTTAGACGCCTGCCCACTTCTTCAGGGCTGGTCAAGAGGCGTTCATATTAGTCCAGTGCTTTTATGAAGAAGCACACGCAGGGAAGCAAAATCCAAGTCAACTGAAGGATTTTGTGCTGTGGAACAGACTTATGGTCATCAGTGTTCTACTCCGTGAAGTGGAAATAATAGACTACATCACAGGTGGTTGTGAGGATTAAATGAGACATGCAGAAAGGGTGACATAGTAAACGCTCAATTAAGTGTTAGCTGTGATCAATACCCAATTTCCTCATGAGTTTTCACACAAATTAACAAATTATACATATTAATTCATTTATTCAATAAATATTTATTGAATATGCTAGGCTCTGTTGTAGACTGAGAAATGAGCCGGAAAAAAAAAAAAGACAAAGATTCTTGCCTTCAAATGGGAGTAGTTAACAACCAAGTAAAATATGTTATGATTTTTAAAATGCTATGATACACAGTTATAAGTGCTATAGAGATAATAGAGCAGGGAAAAGAGAGAGATATTAGGCTTTTCAGTTATAAATATGATGGGACAAGACAAACATCAGTTTTGAGCAGACAAATATGATCCGTCCATGTTTCCAAAGGTCCACTCTGGCTGTTGTGAGATCAAACTTGGGGTGGGGGAGGTGGCAAGGAAAAGGCCAGGTAAGGAATTACTGTGGTAATGCAGATGGCTGTATTAGATGGTACCAGTTTTTCTAGCCAGAAGGATTTGCTGACAAACTGGATGTGTTGGGTGAGGAAGTAAGGAAAGCATAATTCTAAGGTTTTGAACTGGGGCGTTTGACGTTTGTAAGACTTGAGAATCCTGACTTTTCAGTTATGTTGCCAAAGGCAGAATACCAAGGCTCATAATTTAGTAAACATAATATAGTGTAAAGATTGAGTCATTGCAGTGGGTCTAAACTGCCCACATTGACTCCTAGGCCAAATATTCAATCAGTAGATATATAACTTGGGCAAATGATTTAACCTTTCTGTCCCTAGTTTCCTCCTCCATAATAGGACCTAATCATTGGGTTGCAGCAAGGCTTAAGTAATTTCACACTCTAAAAACCCTTAGAAAAGTGTCTGATAGTGCTCAATTTATGTTAACCATTACATAACTATTGTTGGTCACCTCCCAGCTCTTTTCACTACTTGGGTCTTTATTGAGCTCTGATATGTTCATAGGCAAACTTCTCATACGCAGAAAACACACCATCTTTATCACTTAATTCTTAATTTTTTACTTGTGGCAAGTCATACCTAATGATCCATGGTGTGACATGACTTGGCCAAAGTTCCTTTTGAAAGACATCACTGTAACAACTAATTTCACTTTTAGTAAAAATAAGCTAAGTAGTGAGCTAAATTTGATGGTAGCCCTGTGAGGCTTGAGTGTGCTATGGCATAAACGCACTTTCACACATTGGTAGTAGCCATCTTCCAAGATGGTCCCAATGATTCTTGCCTTCTAGTATTAATGAACTGAGTAGATTCCTCCTACAATGAAACAGGCTGTTATATGGGACCAGTGGAATATGGCAGAAAATGTAACTTCTGAATTTAGGTCATAAAAGGCATTAATGCTTCTGTCTTTGTATGCTTGGATGATTTACTGTGGGGGAAGTCAGTCAACATGTCATGAATTTGCTCAGGCAGCCTTGTAGAGAGGAACTGAGTCCTCCTGTCAACAGCCAGCTTCATTTGGCTTGCCAGCCAAGTTAGTAAGCCACTTTGGAAATAGATCGTCCAGCCCCAGTCAAGCCTTCAGATTAAGTACACCCCCAGGTAGCACCTGATTGCAACCTCATGAGAGACACTGACTGAGCAGATCTGCTCAGCCAACCTGCTCAGGAATTCCTGACCCAGAGAAAACATAAGCTATTAAGTGATTATTGTTGCTTTTAGCTACTAAGTTTTGGGGTGACTTGTTACAAAGTAATAGATAGTACTGGAAAGGAAAACCTAAAGGTGGCCCTCAGACAGATCCAGTATTAGGCCCACAGTATTACTCAAGCCACTCTTTATTACCTGAACCCACTGTTTCTGAAAGTAAAAAAGTTTGCCCTGGGCTTCCTTTTACTGAAAAAAAAAAAAGTTAAGGGGGTGGGAAAACAGTGGTAGTTTTAAAGAAAAATCTTCCAAATAAATGTAAATAACACACCAAAAAAACATGAATTTTGTATTTTTTGAGTCACCAAAGCAGTGTATTGTTAGCACCAAACCCTCGCCTCAAATTTGAGTTGGGCAACATTTTTACCACAACACAGAATTTGCAAGAGAAGCAGATCAACTCTAGAATAGTGAAAACAACAACAACAAAAGCAGATTAACCCATAGGCAACTGGGCAATACTCAACAATTCTACTCATCTATTGCTTACAAGCTACCTTTACTATGAGAGATGACTTCTTTAAAGCATATTCTAGAAATCATTAATGGTATGGAAGAGAATTTATTTAGCTTTGTGAGGCTTTACTTTCACAATAATATACCCTTGGCACAGGAAGACCCTTTAAGTCTCATAAATTGCCTAACAAAGTAAATATTTACGTTGACTTAATGAAGCTTTCAGACATTAAGTTTGAGAAAGTTAATGATTAGCACAATTGCATACATTATCACAATCCAAACAGTAAACCAAAGAACAAGATTTTCTTAACACCCCATAAAACATAAGAAATAGCAATTTCTACTCAAACATTATACCTCTGCTATATTTTGATCAGATTTTATACTGGCTTTTTTTTCTTTCTGAAAATAGCTTACTATTAATCTTTTGTGTTAACTCCCTAGTCTTAATACCCAAAGGTCACTGGATATACCTTGGCTCTATTTTTATTTAGTGTAGGATGTGTTTACTAAGCCGGTTATACTCCAGTAACTTTGTGAATGAAAAAAATGCTAAGAGAATTAACAAATAATGGAGTCATTATTTCACATATCCTCATCTAATTTCAGGAAAATCACTTCCAAAAAGCAATTCTGCTTGAGAAACTAATGTCTAAACAGAAACCAAAGAAAAGTGAAATTATGGGAAATCTATGATGGTTTATTAGACATTGTGTGCTTTTAATAGTTAAACACTGGTAATACTTGATAATAATCAAGAGTAAATTAATAGACTAACATTTTTAAATGTGTACTTTAATAAGTATAAAGTAAATAAACAATTAGGTAAGCTTGTGGAAAAGCTGCCAAGATACATAAATTAAGAAATACAAGTGTCTATCTAAGTTTTCTATATTTCTTTCTTTCTTTTTTTTTTTTTACAGAATATTTGTTAAAGTTGTTTAATGTATAATTTCTCATTAGTCATTTTGGAAGTCCTTTATTGTAAAGATTATTCTTTTGTTTGATAACAAACAGCAGCCACAGTGTCAATGATTATTCAGGACCTCCACGCTGAAAAAGAAAAAATAAAACAAGATTAGGTGTCAAATTTACAGAAAAAATGTTTTCATGGCCACTATACAAATTTACACTATTTTAAGTAAATGATCTTTAGTTTTTTAAAACAATTTCAGATTTTCTCATTGCTTTATGGCACTCATAGAAATGTTATAAATAATTTCAGATCTGGAAGGGATTCAGGTTGATCCAGATCAGTGGTCCTCAAATTTCCTGGTCTCAGAGCTCTTTACAATCTGAAAAATTGAGAACCCTCATGAGCTTTTTTCTAATGTGCTTACGTTGATTGCTTCTACACATCATACTTCTACACATATATTTCTTCATGCATGTAAACTGAGGGCTTGGACATGGTTTATTTCTCATAGTCCTGGCCTATCAGACCATCCGTATCTTAATTATGGACACACCATGACAAGACAATGGGAAAGGCATGTAAATCAGCATATGAAATTCCAAAAGCCAAAAACGTTAAGGTGTTTTGCATAATATTGTGATAAACACCAACAACATACTTGGATATATTCGACTTCTTCTTGAGACACAGGTTTCCTTCTGTATTTCTGAGGTAATGTTTTTATTATTTCTGCAGTGTCTGGTGGACCCTGATGCATCAGCCAATCTGACGATTTACTTCCCTTAGAATGCTGTGAAATTGAAGAAGAGTGAGATGGTACTCCTGTTGATCTCACAGCTTCTGATACTGAAATTTAAAAAATGTAATTAGAGAAATTGTTCAGGTGTCTTAAAATACGATGTTGTGTTCTCCATTATTGAATAATCTAGTCATTCTTGAAATAAGTATTATAATTCTGAGAGGTATTAGAGAGTAACTTAGTTGGGTAGCTATATGTAAGTTCATAAAGTTCTTAAAAAAAGGAGGTAATATTAAACGAGTGAGTTACTAAATTGAACAAATTTATAAAATAATGAAATTTCTAGGTAGTGGAATTCAACCCATATAGATAACCTACATTACTTAAGTTTTGTCATATGGTGGAATTTACAGGTAATATCTTACAATGGGGAATAAGAATTTTGGTAACTATAGATGAGATTAGTTTTCTCAATACTTTTCATCAACTATATCTTAATTCAAGAGTTACAATAAGTTAAAAACATCTGTGTAAAATTTGTTAAAATTCTCCCTGAATTAAGGATCAAATAGCTTATAATAAAGACAGAGACAGAGGATCTGGTAAAAAAGAGGGGTCAGAAAAAAACAGGACTTGTTCAGAATCTTTAGTTACTTTATGATTACTAAGGTTTATAGCAATCAAAGAAACATTAACTGATTGAATGGATAAATGAGTCAATGAAAGAAAAGGTGAGCTGGGAGAGAAATATGAAAATGGTTATTATCCCTCACAATATATGCAAATGTAAGTGTGTGAGATTATTCTAAAGCAGGGGTCCTCAAACTTTTTAAACAGGGGGCCAGTTCACTGTCCCTCAGATCGTTGGAGGGCCGGACTATAGTTTTAAAAAAAACTATGAACAAATTCCTATGCACACTGCACATATCTTATTTTGAAGTAAAAAAACAAAATGGGAACAAATACAATATTTGTATTTGCATGTGGCCTGCGGGCCGTAGTTTGAGGACCCCTGTTCTAAAGGATAGAAGGAAAAAAAGGTAGAACAAAAATTTCCCTGTATAAACTCAATATCATTAAAAATTCAGAGACTTCTATTGAGTCATTACCTTTTTAAATGGAATAAGTTAATTTCTACTTGCATGCAACCTAAGGTACATACCACTTTCTTTTTTTTTTTTTAATATATTTTTACTGATTTCAGAGAGGAAGGGAGAGGGAGAGAGAGAGAAATATCAATGATGAGAGAGAATCATTGATTAGCTGTCTCCTGCATGCCCCCTACTGGGAAGCCCACAACCTGGACATGTGCCCTTAACCAGAATCAAACCTGGGACCCTTCAGTCTGCAGGCTGATGCTATATCCACTGAGCAAAACCAGCTAGGGGGTTATGTACCATTTTCATCTAAGCTACCGAATCTACCTAATTTTAAAATGAAAAATATTGCCTATAATAGGATATTCATGTATAAATATACATGTACACCTTTGAAAAAAAAATGCCTTGGTCAGGTAGCTCAGTGGGTTAGAGCGCTAAAGTTCGATCCCAGTCAGGGCCCATACAAGAATCAACCAATGAATACATAAATAAGTGGAACAACAGAATCAATGTTTTTTTTTCCTCCTCCTCTCTCCCCCTCCCCCATCCTCCCTTTGAAGTCAATAAATGAAAATTTAAAAAATCTAAAGTACAACTTACCATCTAGTTTAGGATGGTCTCTTCTGTTAGGGAACCTTATTAATGGAGTATGTGGCTTGACTACCTAAAGGAAAAAAAATGCATAAAAAAGATGAAACACTAAAATAAACTCATTAACTATATATACAAGAAAATCTACTGAACCACATAGATACCTTCATTAAAATAAAATACCTTAGTATTTGACAGCAATTTTTATTTTTTTAGCAATTTTAAATTTTACTATTTTACTCTTCCCCAACCAGGAAAGCTGGTCTATGAATTATTAACTTGTTTATCTTATCTGCTATTCATAATAACTTTGTACTTTATACATCACATTTTACTGTACTCCCAACTGACCTCAAAGACAACCCTATGAAAAAGATGACATTGGTTTTATGTTGTGTGACTTATATATCACCCTGTTGATTGGTAAGAATTGGAAGTTTCCTGACTTGTATTGAGTGTTTTTCCCCTACTCTGTTACTATCTAGCAGTTTAGAATAGGACAAAAAACATATTGAAAATTAGGTAATTAAAAAGATACTTTTTCTGAGTAAAAAAGTAACGTGTTCTGTGTAAAAAATTTGGAAAAATTGCAGAAAAGCACTAAGAGGAAAACTATAATCCCAAAAGCCACATAAAACAGGTTTAAACATTTGATAATCCTTTTAGTCTTTTTCCTATATGTACCTATGGAAATACATACTTTTCATTGCCCTAATTCATCATGCCATTTCCATCCCCATTCAATCTCTGCCCAACCCCACCCATTTCCATGCCTCCCCTTTCATCTGACTGCTTATCTTTTTTTTTTTATAAAATCTTTATTGTTCAGATTACATTTGTTCCTTTTTTTTTTCCCCCATAACTCCCCTCCTCCCAGTTCCCGCCCCACCCTCCGCCCTCACTCCCCACCCACTGTCCTCATCCATAGGTGCACGATTTTTGTCCAGTTTCTTCCCGCATCTCCCATTCCCCTTTCCCCCCCAAGAATAGTCAGTCCATTCCCTTTCTATGTCCCTGATTCATTATAATCACCAGTTCATTCTGTACATCAGATTATTTATTCACTTGATTCTTAGATTCACTTGTTGATAGATGCATGTTTGTTGTTCACAATTTGTATCTTTACCTTTTTCTTCTTCCTCTTCTTAAAGGATACCTTTCAGCATTTCGTATAATACTGGTTTAGTGGTGATGAACTCCTTTAGCTTTTCCTTATCTGTGAAGCTCTTTATCTGACCTTCAATTCTGAATGATAGCTTTGCTGGATAAAGTAATCTTGGTTGTAGGTTCTTGGTATTCATCACTTTGAATATTTCTTGCCATTCCCTTCTGGCCTGCAAAGTTTCTGTTGAGAAATCAGCTGACAGTCGTATGGGTATTCCCTTGTAGGTAATTGAGTCTCTTTCTCTTGCTGCTTTTAAGATTCTCTCTTTGTCTTTTGCTCTTGGCATTTTAATTATGATGTGTCTTGGTGTGGTCCTCTTTGGATTCCTTTTGTTTGGGGTTCTCTGCGCTTCTTGGACCTGTAAGTCCATTTCTTTCACCAGGTGGGGGAAGTTTTCTGCCATTATTTCTTCAAATAGGTTTTCAATATCTTGCTGTCTCTCATCTTCTGGCACCCCAATTATTCTGATGTTTGTACGCTTGAAGCTGTCCCAGAGGCTCCTTACACTATCTTCGTATTTTCGGATTCTTTTTTCATTTTGCTTTTCCGGTTGGGTGTTTTTTGCTTCTTCGCATTTCAAATCTTTGGCTTGATTCTTGCGCTCCTCTGGTCTGCTATTGGGTGTAATATTCTTTATTTCCGACCGTGTATGCTTAATTTCTAGTTGTTTCTTTATCATAGCATCGAGGGTCTCATTAGTTTTCGTGAGGCTCTCCAGAAGTTTATTGCAAGCCCTCAAAATTGCGTTTTTTAGCTCTATATCCTCCATTTCTGTCATGTTTTTTTGTCTCCGCATTTTTTATGCTTTCTTGGTGCACCCCCTAGTGGTCTTTGTGCGCAGTCTTGTTCTAGTTGAGCCTTGATTGTTGTAGTTAATACTAGAGGGATTTGACCACCAGGCCGACTGGCTGTGTGAATCAGCTGTGTCTGCCGCTGAAAACTTCTGTCCTCTGGGGAGGTGCTAATCTAGCCTTTGCCTGAGGCAAACCGGCAAATGGCTCTGTGCAGGGCTTGGGCGGGGCGGGATCAACAGGGCAGGGCGGGCGGAGGGAGCCGTTATGGTGCCCTCAGTCCTGTTCCCAGAGGCTCTGCTTCTCAGAACCCCCGGAACCGCTGCAAACCTCGGAGGGAAAGCTGCCTTCCAACTGATGCCAGACACTCCCGCTTCTCCCGTTTGGGTCCGAGTCCCCAGCGATTCGCCCGTATCTGGAGCTCAGAGTCTGAGACTCCCCCCTGACCGAAAACGACAACCGCGCTCTCAGCCACCAGCCCGCTTTGCGCGCGCACCTCCGCACCTGAGTTTTTTCCACACTGCGCCTCCTCTGAGCCTCGGTGTGCTGTTATTTTTCCTTCTAGTTGAAGAGTCTCTCCTCAGCCAGCCTTCCTGTGGTTCTGGGTGATGTCCGTTCCGTCTTTTAGTTGTATTTTTGAAGTGGTTGTTTGCGGCAGCAGTCTCCGGTGTTTACCTATGCCGCCATCTTGATTCTCCTGACTGCTTATCTTTTAAAACAGCTCAAATGTCACTCTGCTCTAAGAAACTTCCCCTGATTCCAAAATCTGATATTTCTACTTTGTGTTTCCATGGTATCCTGAACATCTTAAGAATACTGTGCAGCAGACAGATAAATGAGCCACTGATGTACAGGAGAGCTAAGCTCCTGGAAAGGCAGAGTTAGAGAATTAAGCACTTCTGCAGCGGTGCCTGATACATAACATAATAAGTGCTCAAGAAACATATGCCAAGTGAGTGAACAGACTATTTGTATGGTAGGCCTAAGTATATAGACACACACTTAACAATACAGGGGTGGGCAAAAGTAGGTTTACAGTTGTAATACAAATACCTGATAAATAAATACAAGAATAAGTTGTATTTTCCATACTCACAACTGTCAACCTACTTTTACCCACCTCTGAGGTACATCAGAGAGAAAGAATTCATTTCAACATTGCTTTTGAATACTTAAAACTATAACGCAATATGCCCTTATAGGCTAAATTCCCACACTATTTGGAATCCCCCTTTTTAAAAAAATACATAGCCAGCCTGATGTAGCTCAGTGATTGAGCACTGACCTATGAACCAGGAGGCCACGGTTCAAGTCCTGGTCAGGGCACATGCCTGGGTTGTGGGCTCGATCCCTAGTGGGGGCTGTGCAGGAGGCAGTCAATTGGTGATTCTCACCATTGATGTTTCTATCTCTGTCTCCCGCTCCCTTCCTCTCTATGAAATCAATAAAAACATATTTAAAAAAATAACTAAAAATACATAAAAGTAGAGAGAGTAGGGTAATAAGCCCTGATAAACACATTACACAACTTCAACAGTAATACAGTCATTCTTATGTTATCACCCTTCCCCCTACAAGGGGAAAAAATTTGATAATTTGGACTGCACTAAAAAGAAAATAAAGATCTTCAACACATCAAGAAAAAAAATCCAAATTTAAAAATACCAACTAGTTAAAAAATTTCATAATAGACCAAAGGTTAATAGCCATATTATATACAGAACTTATAAGCATAGCAAAATGGGTAAGAAGTCTTCACAAGTAAAGAAATGAAAATAGCTCTTAACCATATGAAAAGATGGTTAGTCTCACGTATAATAAGATACAGTTAAAAGTACATGGTAATATTTTTCAATTAGATTTTTTGTTTTTTGTTAATCCTCACCCGAGGATATTTTTCCATTGATTTTTAGGGAGAGCGGAAGAGAGAGGGAAAGTCAGAAGAAACATTGATGTGAAACACATCAACTGGGAGGAGCCTGCAACCAAGGTACATGCCCTATCTGCAGGTTGACACTCTATCCATTGAGCCAAACTAGTTAGAGCCATCAATTAGATTTTAATGTACAAGTTGGATAACACAAGACTGTTGGGAAGGCTGTAGGGAAGCAGATGTTCATTCATTGCTAAAGGAATGCATCCTATATAATAAAACCCTAATATGCAAATCAACCAAACAGCAGAACTGGTCGCTATGACATGCACTGACCACCAGGGGGCAGATGCTCAATGCAGGAGATGCCAGAAGGGGAGTGGGCCTAAGCTGGCAGGTGGACACCCCCCGGGAGGGGGCCCAGGACTGCGAATACATACTAGCATGTACTGCTTTGTATTATGAATATCTGAGTCAAAATCTTTGCAACTCTGTTAGGAGACAAACCATTCCTTATTGTATACCTCAAAGTATATTTTTTTCATGTATCAGTAGTTAGTTCTTTACTATTACTGTATATTGTTCCATTTTAACACATCTACCACAATTTGTTTATCCCGCTAATGGACGTTTGATTGTTTCTGGTTTGGGGGCTGTTATGGATAACGTAGCTATGGACATTTTTATTTTTTTAAATATATTTTATTGATTTTTTACAGAGAGGAAGGGAGAGGGATAGAGAGTTAGAAACATTGATGAGAGAGAAACATCGACCAGCTGCCTCCAGCACACTCCCTACTGGGGATGTGCCCTCAACCAAGGTACATGCCCTTGACCCGAATCAAATCTGGGACCTTTCAGTCACAGGCTGACACTCTATACACTGAGCCAAACCGGTTAGGGCTGGACATTTTTATATGAGTCACTTTTTGGGTATATGCAATCATTTCTCTTGGGTATAAACCTAGGAATAGAATTGCTGGGTCAAAGGGTAGGTGTGTTTAACTATTAGAGATTGACAAGTTTCCCAAAGTGGCTGTACCATTTTATATTCCTAACAGCAATGTATGAGGGTTTTGGTACTTCATTTGGTACTGTCAGTCTTTTCTATTTTAATCATTAGATGGGTGTAGTAGTACTTCCTGGTTTTCATTTGTATTTTCCTGGAAAGTAATGATATTGAGCATCTTTTCATAGGCTTATTGCACATTTGGATAACTTCTTTTGTGCAGAATCATTTTTTTACCCCATTTTAAAATTGGGATATATATATTATGATACCAGTTCTTTGACAGATGTTTGCCATATCCCAACAGAATCGTTAATTAGTTAATGCTCAATAACTACCCAATAAATGAGTAAATGAGGCTCTGTGGAGAGTGGCTACAGTGTTTGGACAGGTTCAAGCCTCATACTAATGAGAGGGCACAGTCCTCTCATTGCCACGTGCAAGTCCCAGCGTGGAGGGCAGAGCCCTCCCAGCACAGTTATAGCCAACAGCTATAGTTGTAAGCTTGAACCTATGGTCCGAACACATGGCCCCACGTGCCTGAGTGATGTGGGCTTGATAGAGTTCAGGTGCATGTAGCTGAGTAGGATCGAAACCCATGAGAATGTTGTGAACATCTTGACCACGCCCTTACAATGCCTCGTGGAATCTGGCTATAAAATAAAGACACAGCTTGTAGTCCGTGGCGCTGTCTCTCCATCCGGGAGCAGCGTCCCACCCAGACCCAGCTTTTATTCTCTTGTCTGTCTTTTCTCCATCCTTCACCGCCCCCTCTCAGGGCCACTGAACCTGGCTGAGCTGGCATGGCAGATAAGGCGCCCTGGGGCTGAGTATGCCATGGCCGTGCCAGCTTGCCACAAGGCTCATTTGTTGCAATGGGACTAAAAGACTGGGACCTGGGATTATCTTTCAGACTGACACTTTTTAAAAAAAAATCTTCACCTGAGGACATGCTTATTGATTTTAGAGAGAGGGGGACTGGAGAGGAGAGGGAGGGGGAGAGAGAGAGAGAAAGGGAGGGAGAAACATAGATGTGAGAGAAGCATTGAGATGGGTTACACCTCCCGAGGGTTCCCCACTGGGCATCAAACCAGCAACCCAGTCTGTGACCTGACCAGGAATGGAACAATCCAACCCACAACCTTTCGGTGCAACTAAGTCACACCAGACTGACACAATTTTAAGAAATACACTTATGCAAAGAGAAAAGCACTTCTCATATCAAAGTTAATAATACAATAATACACTTTGAGTTGAAAAAGATGATGTACACCAACCACCAAAGTGGAGGTTATGTCCCTTAATGGCCAATGTCACCCCTCCTATTTAAGCTGAGACCACAGCTGGAAGAAAAGCTACCGGGCGTTAGTAACCAACGTGTGGGTTAATGTGTGGTTCCTCCAGCTGCCATCTAACCTCAAGAGGAAAAAGCAGCTTGGGAACCCAACACTAAAACACGTATTACGGTTCATCTTTTTTCTTTTCTTCATCCCCTCCATCCGGCCGATAACCAGACATTCGAGTCGGTGGGGGAGAACCCGTCCGGGTCAAGGGCGCCGCCAGATCTGGCCCATCCCCAAGACCTTGAAGGGACACCAGGTCAGGGCAGGGCTGGCTTCCTTTCCCTCGCCCCTACCGCCTCTCTCCGATTGGCTGAGCCGGGACGTCGCCGACTATGCTAGACGCCGATTGGCCGGGCGACAGCGGCCGCCAAGCCCCAGGCTCCCAGGAGGCCAACGAGGTCCTCGCGGAGGAC